ACTTCTAGCTAATGCTAATGCTAGCGAATTGCCTTGTCTTACAATTCAAAGGGCTGAAATTAGTTTTAACAGAAATTTCAATGCTTTTTGATGTTTTTAGACTTTTGTTACGAGCCTGAATCAGCAAACTTTTCAGGAGCTGGTGTAGTGATACTGTATAGTTTGTTTGTTTTTTATTTAAAAGCAGTATTTAATCCAATTCAATCCACTTTATTTACAAATCTAATTTAACAACAAATCATTTTTGTGTTTGTTATAACCGTTTTGACTTCAAGAAGTGGTGGAAGATGTTTTTTTTTCCGAGTGGATCATCAAAATAAGTGGTCCTCCTAATTGTCAATCATTCTGGTGACATGTTTATGTAAGGCTGTCCTACGTGTTCATCCCCATTTTCAATTACTGGTGGTGAGTCTGACATAGTGGAAAAATTGCAAATCTTCTTTTGTAAAATAAGCTTGTATGAGTGATGCTAACAGCAGCTTTTAAACAGAGCGTGCACAAGGAGAAATTGACTCGTGCACGCCCTCACACACGTTTAATTGGTTTTCCCTCTCAGAAGTGGGTACAGGGTTGTGCATGTGCATTTTTTTTTTTTAAGTGGAGAGGGCGGGTCTTTACAAAAATTTGCAAAAATCCTCCACTGTACCTTTAAGTGTATGTGTCAAAATCAAATGAAGATAAAATGTTTCCTTTTTTCTTTTTTAGAAAATTGTTACCTGCAGTAGTAGGATTATTTTAAGCAGTTAGCATTGCTATTTTGATTCCTTTTTTGGATAAATAGTGAAACAATATTAAAGGTCATCAGACTGAGAATCTCATTTTAGCATGATGCTAGTCTCTATTAGATAAGAGTTTAATATAAATCCTTTAAATGCTTTATAACCACAAACTTATCTGTTTTAGCCTATTACCCTGTGCATATATGGACAGCCCCCATTAGAAAGAAGAAAAAAGAAATCAACAACTCAAAGAGCTTCCAGAAAAGCCATGGTGGCTGGTTATCAGATGACAGCCAGGCTTAACTCTCCTTCAAGGATGTAAGGATTGGAAGAGCACTAATGAAGGCTTGTTGTTGGAGCAGGATTAGTGGCGACAGGCAGTAGAGGGCAAGACAGGCTCAGGGAGGAACAAGTGTTTTAGTAGGAGAGAAAAAACACTGATTAGCCTGGAAGAGAAACTTAGACACACGCATACACATGTTGCTGCTGTTGAGATAAGGCTCTTTACGCTGGGTTCACAGGGTTCCTAATGCAGACTGAAAAAAATCAGAAAAAAGATAATTTTGGTTTATAGTGGCGGTTATAAGTCTACATAGACTTTATGATGTATATCCTATTGACTTTGGACTTTCATTGAGTCATATTTACTGTGATTTTATCAAAACGATTATATAACCAGCTATTTAAAATGAAGGATTTATTCCATGACTTTGAATCCATTCATCCAGCCAGCCACCTAATCATTTTTGGAAATTTCTTTAGTGAATCCAGCTAGACATATGAACACTATGCTTATCTGAATGTGGAAAAGTGAAGGATTGCGCCATAAAAAAAGTCCCTGAGCTTCAGTAGCGAGTTTCCCCCTCCTGCTCCTTCCTCCTCCAAAACAATATTATTTTACAATTACAATTACCATTTTTTTTTTTCGTTTTTTTTTTTTTTTTTTATGTTCAGTATAGGAATAAGTGCTCCGTTGTATGTTGGATGCATTAAGGGCTTTTCTGTAATCAGTTTAAGTCTGTGCATGTTTGTGTGCGGATGTAATCTTTTTCCTCCTTCTCATAAAGCCTGATTTTTCCCAGCTGCTTTAAAGAAACACACAGCGGCCACAATTTTTTTTTCTGCAAGCCAATTTCCTGGTTTTGTTTGTTATTTTCTGTCATTCTAAATTTATCCTACTTTTTGGAAACATGTTTTTTTTTTCCCCATCCCCTCCTTTTGTAAATGGAACTAATCCACTCTGTGACATATTCTGGCACAGAATTAGAAGTGATAAGAAAACTAGATCTTCTTACACATCAATCACAGCAACATTCCTGTGGAACAATGGCCGCTCTGCTCTCCTCCCCGTTTGCTGCAGAAAGAAACCTTTTAAATCTGCTTTCTTCTGTCATCGAAAAAAACCTAAAAGGTCATTCGGGAAATGCAGACCGCAGCCTCGTGCAACAGGCACCCTGAGTTTAAAGCAAGCGACTCCCTCATGAGCGCCGTTGGCTGCTCTGCAAGCCAAGTCTGAGTGTAAACGCATGGCGGCCTGCCCGGACAACCAAACCCAGATATAGAGCATGTGGTGGGGCTTTCTCTGCAGTCTGTCTATGCATCTGTCCTTGCACCAATTACGCTCTTTTATACTCATACACACAGCGTAAAAAAAAATGTATGTGCTTAATTTGCATGGCACAACACATATAAATACATATGTATTTGGCTATAAATGTAGCTATACACTTGTGTCTATTCAGAACCAATTTGCTGTGAGCTGACATCCAGACTCTAGATGGTTTTCATTAGTCTAAACGCTGAGGTAAATGTTAGATATACCATATACACCAAGTTAACATCTTTACACCCCCAATC